CTCATACAAAGCACATAGAAATTGACACTCACTGTATTGTGAACAAGTATTAGCTCATAAGATTGTTGTTCAGTATGTACCTTCTAAATTGCAAATTGCAGTCATACTCATGAAGGCCCTTCTTGCTGCTCAATTTGAAGAACTAAAGGCAAAGCTGATTGTTACATCCTGCTGCAATGAAAATGTTGATTAACTGATGAGTTTTTACTGTTACTGACATGTTTTTGGTGAAATTTCAGATGTTTAGAGTGCTTCTTATCTTTGGTTGAAATCCTGTGAAGAGCTATGGTATTAGCTACAATGAGGCAATGCATTGTTGTCTAACGTGGTGATTAATTGATGTTGGCACTAAGCTGTTGTTGTCTAATGTGGTGATTAATTGATGTTGGCACTGAGATATTGTATAATGTGGTGATCCATTGATTTTTTTTTTTTTTTTTTTTTTTTTTTGATGTTTTTCAGCTAATAAGTTGCTGATCTGATTTAAATCTCAGATGCACATGAAAAGTTGTGCAAAATTGCTTATTTCGTTTAGTACAGCAGTTCACAGGCAGAGGTCTGCAACAGATAGTAGCTAGGTATTAGCTTGAATTCTTACTAGTTTGAAGAAAGTCACCCATTGCAGCAGATTAAGAAGATTCAGAATAAGAAGATTTTATGTTTCAGCAAATTTAATATTGTCTGCAGATTTAGAGTTACAGAGCAAAAACAAAATTTAAGTCTTGCCTCTCTGTTTTGTAAGTTGAAGCTGCAAGGTTGTTAGCTTGAAGACGGCTGTTAGTTACAAGCTGAATTTGCAAGCTGAAGCTACAAAGTAGTTTAGCTTGAGGGGGGATGCCAGTAAGGCAAATCTGGGCCAAGTCTAAAGTCTTAAACAGTGTCATTTTTAGACTTCAGAATTCAGATTCCTTTTACTAAAACTGTGTCGTTTTGACTAGTCCATTTCCTTCTCTTTGTTCTCTTTGTTTCTTGAACTTTAGCTGAACTTCTCTGCATATATAGTAGGGAGAAGTCAATCGTACTTTTTACACTTAAGTTTAGTAAATGAAAATTTTTCGTGCTCATTCTTTCTCCCAAATACCCTCTTTAAGCTTCAGTATCTCTACTCTCTAAATTCCACAATATTTGCATCGAGGCCTTACACTGAAATAACACAAATCGTATCTTATGATTTTAATGATATGGCCTTTTCGCCCTGTGGTGAATACTAGAGAAAACTAAGAAACATCTGTGCGTTAGAACTTTTAAGCGCAAAACAAGTCCAAAATTTCTGATCTTTAAGAGAAGAAGAGGTGTCTAGTCTTGTCAACTGGATTGCTTCAAAAGCGGGATCAGTGATTAACCTCAGTGATAAGCTTTTCCAATTGTTGTATGCTATCATTTCAAGGGCGGCTTTTGGCAGAAAATGCAGAGATCATGAATTATTAATGTCTGTTATGGAGGAAACTATGAAGTTGTTGGGAGGTTTTGGTGTTGCCAACCTGTTTCCTTCAATTAAATTGCTCCAATCGATCAATGGAAACGGGTCTAAAATGGAGAGGCTGCATCAAGAAACAGACAAAATACTTGAAAATATTATCAAAAAACATAAGATCTCTGACCTGATTGAAGTAAATAAAGATAATTTCAAGGACGTGGTGATCTTCAGTTTCCCTTGACTAGAGAGAACATCAAAGCTGTTATCTTTGTAAGTATTTAAACTTCTTGTACAGTGTTTAAGCACATACTTAAATATAATTAAACAACAATTTTTTTTTTTTATTTCAAAAGGACTTTTTGTAAAAATGATAAATTGCGCATTTTAGCTTTAATTATATATGCTCAATATTATAAGTTATTTTGTCAACTTATGATTTTAGTGGCGTAACACTAGTCATGTTATGAACATTTCACTTTGAATATTGCACAATTATTTTTGTTTAATTTCCAGTGTGACGACCTCATGTTTAAGACATTCTCTTATGCTGGTTATCTCCAGTATCGGGTGAGCACCTCTAAATCAGACTGATCACCTCGTATCTGACAAATAATTTTGAGTAATACGTGTTTTCATAAAAATATAGCGAGCTGTCCTTTTATTTTTTATGTGATTCATAACACCTACCAATTTGTAATGCAATGTGTTGGAAAGTTTTTATTCCTTTGGATAGGTAGCATCTAGAATAAAAGAATATGCTCTTTTTATCTCATCTTAGATTGTAGCCACATGTCCCTTGCATCCTCTATAAAATAGACCATCTCTTCCACATTTCTTAAGCGTGATATTTACTTGGAAATATGTACTGAAATTCTCTGAATTTTTCTTTGCTTTTATTAGGTTTCTATGCTTAGGTAAAATTTATAAATACCTTCACTCAAGTACCCAAAATATGTCCTTGCTTTCTATGTGTTGTTCGTAGCTAATGTGAGAAGCTTGTTGAGCTTCTTCGACCGAAGTGTGCCTTCATTCTGATCCTTGAGAGGAGCTCAAGATCAACCAATTGTTTAGGTGTTTTTGTAGTTAGCTATGGTTGCACATTGTTTAACCAAAGGGTAGAGATTGAAGCGTTGCAAAACAAGGGGATTTTGGCAACTGAGGCTTAATCTCCAACTTTGTAATTAAACTGTAAAGTAAACTTAGTGGATTAGTTTCATTCTGGACTTGGTTCCATGGATGTAGGCATTTTTCCGAACCATGTAAAAATCATGTGTATTTTACTTTATGTTGATGTTTAATGGACTCTTAAAATCAACGTAGCAACCCATTCTGCTTAAGTTTTAAATCACTTGATAAATTTACAACTTTCAAACATAAAAAAATAAAATAACAAATAATATCTCGATAATTACTTTAAAATATAGCATTTAAAAGTTTAAAGTTACGTGAAACCATGGTAAGAGCCCAAATTGTTTTGCAATCCCATGATACGAGTCTCTGTTCTTGCCTTGTCCTTACTATTTTTTATTTTTGTCTTCCATTTAACTAATTTGCTCGTCAACTTTTTAATCCAGTGGTGTTGTTTATGTCTTCACTAAATCACTTTCTAAATCCTAATAATAATTAATATTTTAAGTTCTGACACAATTTTATCACTCATGGTTTTCCTTTGACTCACTAAACTTCAACAAGCTTCAACTAAAATCGCAATATTCCAATCTTTTTAACACTAAGGGTGTGTTTAGTTGGGGGGTAATCCTCAATTAATGTGGTAATGTAATCTTATATTTCTTGATTATCACGTTTGATTGTCAAATAATAATAGATTCTGATAATCTTTCAAAACCAATAATAATTATTGTTGGTAAAATATGAGGTAATTTGATTACCTCCATTTTGTGTATTTTAAGATGACTTGGTAATCTTAATTTTGTTACTATTTTACTCTTTATTACTAAAATTTTAGGACACTAATATCCTTGTTATCTAGACAATTTACAATTCATTTATAGACAATTTTAACCTCATATTTCAGATTTTTAACATAGAACTACCGTTGTACTTCAACCAAATTATCCAAGACCACAGCCACCCCCAACCACCCAAGAATGCCATCAGTCGTCGGCACAGCCAGATCTGGCCGTTTTCGGCCTTACCGATGCACGGCCGGTTAGATCCGTCTGGTCGTGCTCCATTATGGCGACTGTCGGTAACGAACGGCGGTAGTGGCTGTTTGTCGGCAATGGCTTGGGGTGGGTGGCAGTGATTTTGTTATAAATTAAAGTTTTATATAGCTAGGGTGTTTTAGCAAAATTATGTAGGGGATTCAAAAATGGATTCAAAAAATAATATTATATTAATATTTAAAAAGAAGGATAATTTAGTCATCTATATAACATACCCACTAATTTATCCTTTCAACTAAACATATCAATATAACATACCCACCAATTTATTCCAACCTAACCAAACACTCTTTCCTAAACATTCCCAATAATCTTCAAGGTAATTTATCTTTCTATTAATATAACATACTCAATAATACAATACTTTTTGAACCAAATGCACCCTAATTGTTATTATTTGTCTTCATCATAAGTATAGGTGATAGGCACACAGTGAAATATCAGAATTATGACTTTTGGGTGCATCCAAACACAGATTTTTTTTATAGATTACATGAAATATTTTAGGGTTCATCCATATCATTTACAAAATCATTTTTAAAGAGCTTGCTACAAAATTAAAGAAGAAATTGAATTTTGTTTATGTTTCACAAAATTTTGGTGAGAATTTATTAGAAGTAAAATTTGAAAAGCAATATTACAAAAAGAGAAATAATCAAAATGTTTTTGGTATTCTTAGTTAGCATGAATGGAAGAATGACTCGTACATTTTTAAATCTTTTTTTTTATTTATTTTTTTTTTTTTTATGAAACACTAAAGACATGTTAATTAAATTTTTTTTGAGTCTAATACTTTAAAAATGAAATTTTTGTTATTTCAATATAACAGTTAATGCAGTTTTCAATGTTCTTAAATTTAGAATACGAAAATGATTGGTATAGATTATCAACAATATTTTCAAGACTATGTTATGTTAACTGGTAGAAAAGACAAAAATAACATAAAATTTCCTTAACCTACTTACTAATAAATAATTAGATTTCAATATATTTGAGAGTTTCATGTTTCTATATTGATTTATGCATGTATCAATTAATTTTGTGATATTGACTGGTTTTGTTTGTAGTATGAATTTTCAATCTATCCTTATTTATACTATTTTAATTTACTCCCACTTGATTATAATACTAATAATATTAAAAAAAAAAAAATCACAATTTAATTATATATAGTTTATAAGGTTTTGGTGTGACCAAGCTTATATAACATGCAATTATTGATGATATTTTATAAATCTAATGAGGAAACAAAAAAAACCAGGGCCTGGGGTGTCCCCCTTTCCGGGATATATTATGATTTTAACTTCTTTTCCGGGATGTTTTTGCTGCTGGTGGTGATGCAGCTTCAACAGTAATGGAGTGGACAATGTCTGAGATGATAAAAAAATCCGAGATTGATGAAGAGGGCGCAGGATGAGGTGAGGGAAGTCTTTAATAGAAGAGGGAAAGTTCATGAAGCAGGCATCGAAGAAATGAAATTCTTGAAGCTAGTAATAAAAGAGACTCTGAGATTGCATCCTGCCGGTCCTTTGTTACTTTCAAGAGAAAATGGAGAGAGATGTGAAATTAATGGATTCAACATACCTGCCAAAACTAAAGTCATCGTTAACGCCTGGGCGATGTCAAGGGATCCAAAATATTGGGCTGAACCCGAAAGCTTCAAACCAGAGAGATTCCTTAATAGTTCTATTGACTTCATGGGAAGTAATTTTAATTACCTGCCATTTGGTGCTGGTAGGAGGACTTGCCCAGGATCTTTCTACGGTCTGGCCAATGTTGAGATTGTGCTTGCGATGTTGCTCTACCATTTTGATTGGAAACTTCCTAATAGAATGAAGAAAGAAGATTTAGACATGACCGAGGTATTTGGTTTGGCACTTAGAAGAAAAAATAATCTGTGTTTGATTCCCATTCCTTATCATCCATAGCCATAAATATAAGCAATAAATGGCTGTGTGTTAATGATAATCTATTCGACCGATCCAAAAAGACTACGGCCTGCGTGTGTACATGTTATTTTTATTTTTATTTTTTTCATATTATGATGTCTGAATGTGATTTGATATAAATTCATGTTTCGGACATTTTAAATATCTGTATTTTGACTGGATTGTGTGGCTTTTTCAAATAAGTTTATCACCATTGTAAAAGCTATATATATAATGAATAAAATCTTGGAGTGGTTTCTCTAAATGTTATTTTCAAAAATACTAATTACATATATTATAGTAACGGTAATATAATTGATATGCCGAACGAAAATTAACAATATCAAAAGAATTAATGCCACTTATTGAAATTGCAATTGTAGACATTATTATTTAGAACTGAATGTTGGCTATAAGAATGTCACGCTTTCTACATTAAATAATTAAAATTACATGTAAAACATTTTTATGGTCGAAGTCGGAAGTGATCAGAAAATTTCTCGGTGCTAAAAATTTCAATATAGTCACATTTCATCCAATTACAATTCCCTTTATAATTAAAACCTAAGTTAAAACAATTTGGTCTCTATAGAAAAAGGAAAAAAGAGAGAAACTGAGTTTTTTTTTCCTTAAAAGAGCTCACAATCCAATGGTGAATCTTCCTCCACTTTAAATTAAATCTCACTATGTTGTTGATGATGATCTAAGTTACACATTGAACGATTTGGATCATCATTTGCTTTTTTGTTTTGTTTCGTTAGTGGGAGTACCCAAATTTTGTAAACACAGTGTTTTAAAATTCGGACCAGACCGAACTAGCCGGTTCGAATGATCCGACCGTCGACTAATCGTCGATTCAGCCGCAAGTCAGAGAAACAATGGCTAAAGTGGCCTTTTCACCACCGACCAGGTAATTACACACAACAATAATCAAAATAACAACCAGTAGGAAGCTGCAATAAGTGGAGAAAAGGTTGCGAGCTACACCAAATCGGCGCAAAATCACCACTTCCGCGGAAAACAAGCAAGGGGCGACAAACGACGATCGACGAGTAGCCACAATTCGAGATGTTAGGGGTTTAGATAAGGAGGAGATGGTGATGCTAATGATGGTGTCAAGTGGGATTTTGGGTGTCAAAAATTACCAGAATCTGGCTGGAAAACAGGCAATCCCGTGAACACTAAAAACCAACAGTAGCCAACGATTGGCAAGTGTAGTTAGGTGGAAATGATAGGGGGTTTGGTGTGGAGGGGACGGAGACGGGGATGGGGATGGGGACGGGGATGCTGATGGTGGTGTAGGGGGGTCCAACGATGCCAAAATAAAGTCGGATCGAGCTTGAAACGATTGTCACACAGGTAGAAGTGGAGGAGGTTTAGGGAATTAGCGTTCACTTAAGGAAAAATCGGGTTATATAAAGCAAGGCTAAATCTACAATTATCTTAAATTTTAAGGATATTTTTGTAAAATATTTCATGCTAACATCACACCAATTGGACCGTCCGACCTGGGACCGAACCCTTGACCAGGTCAAGGCCTGGGTCAGGTAATAAAACTTTAAGTATACAATCAACAAATTCTTCAGGGAAGAAGTTGTTGATTTTATACTAATTTTCTTTAGGAAAGAACGTTATTGCAACTTATTATTTGATTTGTGAAAGTTTTTATGTGAGTGGTATATCGTCACCTCGTAATTTTTTCCTCTGCCTTGATAGGTTTTCTACGTTCAAAAATTTGTGCCTTGATTTGGTTGTGGTTGCTTTGTTTCATTTTCTTCTTTGTTTGAGGATATATTACTTGGTTTCGCTTGCCTAAACAATTACAGGATCAAGCATAGATAATAAAACACTGAATTAACAGATTTAGGGTTTTAGGAATACCTATTTGAGCCATAATGTGTACGAGATTTGTTGAATCCTTGACTGGTTTTTTAAAACATTCATGCTTCTAGGGTTAAAATGGTAGGGAAATGGTGTAAAATGGTGTTGACATGAATTAAGGTTCACATGGCATGAAATTAAAACAAGTTGGATGGAAATTGATACCTTATGAAGCTTTCAATCCTTGAAGCTTTGATTGGAGATGAAAGGTCTTCAAAATTGATGAAGATTCCTCAAAGTTAGTCCACCACCAAGCATAAACACTACAAGGGAAAAGGGCTTTCTTGACGGGTACAATGACAGTTGTAGCCCATGTCAAGAAAGGCTCATGACAGTTTTTGAATTGTCAAGGACCTCTTGACAGATTCTTGACAGTTCGATAATTGTCAAGGATTTAGCAAGACTTGAACCAAACTGTCAAGGATTTAGCCGAATTTTCAATTTTTTTTTTTTTAAAGATTTTAGCCAAATTGTTGACAGTTTTCACACTGTCAAGATTTCGTTTGTTAATTTTTTTTAAATTAATGAATTTTTTTTATTATTACGTATTAAATTATAGAATAGTCGAATGAAATGCTTCATAATATTATGACCATTCAACAATGTATAATGAGAAATCAAACAATTGATCGAATAATACATATATTATTGTTGCTCTGAGTAAACAAAATTGAGCAATAATACATAAATTTTACAATATTGCATAAACAATAATGAAACGTTTGATACATAGTTTTTGCCCTCATTGGCCTCCGACATCACTGAAACAACAATATATAACTAAAGAAAGTTTGTTACGTACATCGCCCATTCAGCTCTGACTTCATCGACCTCTGCATTTTTGTATATTTCTTTCCCTGTGAACTATAAAAGTAAACACAATAAGACTATTCAACAAATAAATATCAACTATATCTTATTATTCAAAACGAACCAAAAAACAAAACAAAAAAAAAAAAAAAGCAAAAAAAGACTTACATTGTTTTTCAATAATGAAAACCCATTCTCTGCTATATCTCTACTATATCTCATAATATAAAACCCACATTCAACGCATCCCGATTGAATGGATCCCTACACAAAATTAATTCGAAAGTAAGCATTAATATTCAAAAGGTAAAACGATATTATAACTGAAAATTAATTGCTATTGATAATAACAATTCTACACACCAACACTTTTTGCCACGAGATTTAGCCCTTTTTTTGGACACCTTCTGAGTATAATGGATTAAGATACCACTGTGAAAGTTAAAACAACTTCTGAAATTAACACAGAGTATTTGCTATTATATAGAGCTTAAAAAATGACATAAGTAGAAATACTAACTTTTGCACTACTTCCTGTAAATCCTGCCCAATATTTCCCCTCAAGGAATCAAGATAGTACACAGTTAAAGTCTTCATGTCAATAGCAACAAGAACCCAATGAAACCTATAAACAAAATTGCATAAGTACCCAACACAACAACCACAAAGAAGCAATAGAATAATCACCAAGAAAGAGTTTAACAGCCCAAAACAAAAATGAAATAAGATTTCAACATGAAGACAGTATATTATATTCAGATTCACACTCAAAATTCATGTTTGGGGATATGATCCTATGGACTGAAATCAACCAATGAATACGACACAATTTAGCAATAGATGCACTCTCAATAATGTTTCAATCCTAATATCTCAGAATAATCAAATATAATCACAAACATCATGGATGATCAAAAGTTAACTAAAATTGATGAAGCCATATTTATGTAGATTTTTCACTAAGAAAGCAAACCAAAAAGCAGATTCTTCACATGCAAATATATGCAGGGGCCAGCAACTACATAACTATCCCTTCAAACACAACTACTGCTTGAATGTTTAAACACTCAATATCCCCTCAAACACAACAACTAATTACCATTCCACACTTGATTCTTCACATGCAAATAACATCTAACCACCCTCCACTGCAAATTCTTCACACGCGAATAACACATAACCACTCCTCCACTAACAATTATACACAACAAAAGGAAAGTAACAGACTATAGTCCTAGCAATTCCTTCCACTAACCACTTGATTCTTCACATGCAAATAACACCTAAGCACCCTCCACTAACATTGTTTTTAAATCTTAAAAACAGATTATTCAAACAAGATTAAAAGTAAGGAAATCAATGAATTACTAACCTTGGGTTGTATGGCACTATAATTAAATTCTCATTCTTCACACTTGCCAACCAAAGATCATAGTCCAACAACATCCATAATGGAAAAACGCAGCATGGAGAGACCGTATCAATCCAACCTAACACAAAAACTAAATTCCCTAAAATTAAAGCTTAACCAGAACATTTTACTCTTCACAAAGAAATCACACCTTAACCACACATGAAAAGATAATCAGCATTTATTAATTGTTATCAGGGTAAATTACTAGCTCTCATAACTCTAATGGCATACTCACAGTTTTGGATCAACTAGAACATGTTATTTCACTCACTTTTGGTTAACAATTATAACATCTCTTTACGCGTAGACACCAAATCAGTATCTCAAAAGGATTAATATAATGTCACATTATATCAACAAGGAGTTGTGAACCATAGGAAGCGTTAGCAACATTCAATATGCCATAAATGTCAATGTCCTCTACACATTAGACAACAAAGCAACAATGAAAGCAAAATGAGAGCTTCTCTTAATGATTCACAACAAATGCTAAGGTTTTTCAAAGAAACTGCAATAAATTTAATTTTCAAGTAGAGGAAGTACCACATCTTTTAATGGATGAAAAAAAAAAAAAAAAAAAAACAATAGTGAGACCTTGAATGCTTCTAGAAAATAAATGTTCATGAAATTTTAACCAAGAAGGATCTTATAAAATAGCACTATATATATACATATCATAAGCCACCAGCCAAATAATATTTTAGAAAGCCAGTCACCAGAACACCCCATTTTAGAAGTAAATACTAGTTTTATGTACATATAACAGTTTGGAGGGGGAAAAAAAAGAGTGAAGGCAACTTGCCTATTCTTTGCTACTACATATTATTCCTTTATTCTTTAGCAGAAAGTGCATGACTTATGGACAAGCACATGAAATGACAAGTTTACAGTTTTT